TCAACTGAAAGCAATTTTGCAGATTTGTTATCGACTAAATCACGTATTTATTAATATTTTCCATGACGAATTAAGCAAAAATATTAAAAGCATCTGTTTTCGATCCGTTTTTTGCCATTTACGGTGTGCTACTGCATGCAGAGGTTGCACTTGCTTCAAGGTGGACAACTTGCTTCACACCAATATATTCCAAATCAATATTTTCCACTTTTATAACAATTATTTTGCGCAAATTACTTCCGTCAGTAAACGTTCTTCATATACTAAAGTGCACATTTCGAGGCTTTGAACAACATATTTCGCTACTGAGTAGATGCATGCAAAGAAAACCCAGACTGGAAGAACGCGAGAGACTTTTTTTTAAAGTTCTCCACCCAACGACCAGGTAGAACAGCACCCAAGGGAGTTTGTAACGTAAATTATCTCCTCGAATTAGCATGTAATCCTGTTTTCTGCATTATTTATTAGACTTTCTATGGGTTTTTTTCTTTGGTCATCCCAGTATTTTGCCCATCCGAAGAATGGCCTGACGACACGCTGGGCACGAGGTCGATACTGGTTTTTCTAATGCAATTTACTTGTGCATTTCTTGCAAGTGCAACCGTTACGCAATGTTTGTTTGATGAGCGTTGCCAATATGGAACGATGTTAATTTGATCGAATCAACATCTAATTTGGTTTCCGTTTTACCTTTGCTTGAATTCAACATTCATGTAGATTTGCAAGTTAAAGGCATTATTCTGGTGAAAGTCAATTTATTTGATGCGATTATCCATCTGATAGTCTACCTTTGCAAAATACTAAAATGTCCATTATTAGTTTTTCTTTTAAATTAATTTAATTCGTAATGGCGCGATTCTGGCCGCTCCCGAAAAATTAACGAACATTTCATAATGAGTAGTGCAACATCGAAAATATTGCCAATAAATGTAAATCCTCGGAAATACAAGGACCCACCAAGAATGCGAAGTCTTATATCAATATTACCGCATGAATAATCGGCATTAATTGGCGACGTATTTACTCAATCAAATATCTGGTTTTATTAATGGGTTTCACAATTTTTATTTGCTGCTAATCGACTGCTAGACGAAATGTTTTAAAGTAAGTCGGTAGATTTAGTTCGATTTTTTTCTCCTACATTTTTCGTCAATGTTATTTCTTTCGAACTAGAAAGTGCCTATTTCTCTGAAATCTTGAAATTCTGGATAATTTAGCACTAACTATGGAAAATGAGAAACTTCCACAGAGTGAAACTGATGACTTTTTCGCGCTTTTAGGCCTGGACTCACTGGTTTCAAACGGCACTCGGGCAAATGTCTCGTTTGAAAATTTGGCAAAAAGCGCTTGAACATGTGATTTTAATTGCACTTTCCCCCAACTTAGAGCAGACATTTTGCTATCAACTAGCACAAAAAGAAGGCTTCTAGCTCTTGCCACTTCGGAGTAGTTAATTTTTAAAAAACCAGCTGCAATAGAGCGAAAAAGTGCAAAGGTCCCGTTTGAAAATATGTAAAAAACGAACTAAAAACGCCTTTTGAACAGAAACTTTTCCCCGGCATAGAGCAAGACTTTCTCTATCTAATAGTACAAAAGCGATGCTTCTAGAACTCGCGAGTTCTGAGTAATTTACTTTTTGTTAAAATAAGCGGCAGTTTGAAAATCTTTGTTGAAAATCGCTTGAGAACGCCTTCCTAATGCACCCGTTGTCCATCATCGATCCAGTTCTTGTCTATAAAATAATGCATAAATGGGGCTGCTAAATCTCGCCAGTTTTGACTAATTTGTTCAATCCAGTGACAATAGAACGAAATCTTGCCGAAGTCCCGTTCGAAAATCTGTGAAAAACGGCTAAAAACGCCTTTTTAATGAATTTTTTGCCCAAACATAGAGCAAGACCTTATCTATCTAATAGTGTGAAAATGATGCTTTGAGAAGTCGATAGTTTTGAGTAACTTATTTTTTTTAAACCAGTGGAAATAGCGCGAAAAACTGCAAATGTCCAGTTTGAGCATTTGTCAAATATCGCTTGAAAATGAATTTTAAAATGCATTTTTGTTCATCATGCACCAACACGTTTTATATAAAACGGTGTACAAACGAGGCTTCTGGCTCTCGCGAGTTCTGAGTAATAATTTTTTATAAAACCAGCGCGAATAGAGCGAAAACGTGCAAAAGTCCCGTTTGAAAATCTGTGAAAAACGCATTTTTTAACGAAACTTTCGGTCAATATAGATCAAGACTTTCCCTATCTAATAGTGCAAAAACAATGCATCTAGAGCTCATGAGTTTTGAGTAATTTAATTTTATAAAATCAGCGGCAATAACGCGAGAAAGTGTAAAGGCCCATTATGAAAATATGTCAAAAACTACTTGAAAATCATCTTCAAATGACACTTTTTGCCAACATAAAACACGGTTTTTCTACAAAGCAAGAAAATCCGAAGCTTGCAGCCTTACGTTCTGAGTAATTGAACCAGCCGCAATAGAGCGCAAAAGTGCTAATTTTTCGATTAAAAATATGTGAAAAACGGCGGTAATATGAATTTACAACTACATTTTAGTCTAACATAGAGCAAGGCTTTGTCTATCCAAAACTGAAAAAATAAAGTTTGTAGCTCGCACTATTTCTCACTAATTATTTTTTTATATAAAAAATGCTTTGCAGCTTAATTTTTCCATTATACATACCCTGATAGTGTCTCATAAAGTCGCTGTACCATCTTGTGAGGCTGGCCATGTTTCACCTTTTATGAAAATCTGCAAATAAAAAATTATATGTAAATTACAAAATTTCAACAGAAATTTTAGAAATATGGCCGCTCTATGAGGCAAAAGGACGGAAGTTTGAAATGTTGTTATTAGCATTCAGGCAATGCGAATAAATATGTTTAAATTGATTATGAGTAATAAACTTAAATTGAAACAAAACTTTCAAGCCCACATGAATTATCCAATTTGTAACCATTCGTAAATCCATATAATTATTACGGACTGTGGCAGGATGCGTTCTTTAAAAGCGCAAAAGTGGTTTGTATTTAAACACTTTAGAACCACTTTGAAGTATGCAAAACTAATGAAAAATTGTTAATAAAAGACGGAATATAAAGGCATAAAGAACAATGTCAGGCATAAAAGCAAATGAATGTAAGCTTGAAACAACGACACCAGTTATTCGAATAAAATCAAAATAAGCGGCACATTATTGCACAACCTGTAGGCTGTAGTTGAACTTTCATTTGCAGGTATTTAAATACCGAATCAAATAACCTAGAAAACTTGATAGTTTATTCTTAGCGTCTTTCGGCAATATCCTCTTACCGGTTTTCACTGCTCAGTTATGAGTTAATGATTACCCGAGAAAATCTGTCGCGATGGCCCGATTATTTTCGTCTTAATTAACACGCAGCTTGAAGAAAAGAAAACAAATTTAGAAGAATGAATTGAAGAAACTCATTTAGAAAAATGTGCAAATTTCCTCACATTATTCCGGATCATTGGCGGTAATGACATTGAGGACTTTCTCACGCCACTAAATGGAAGATCAACAACATATTGATGGCAAGCGTTTTCATAATATGCCAATGCGGAGCTCAAATTGGTAAACCATTCTTACATAACGAAATTGCAACACTCTTTCTGAAGAATAATCCATCAAAGGTTCATCTTTTAGCTGAGTTATACTGTCCTTGACACGAATGGGCACGTTTCACCTCAAATCTTTGCTGAAAATGTAACAAATTACAAGAATCATTATCTGCGTCCAGTGAAAGAAAGCCACAGTTAGTCGCATTGTCTTCATATGCTCTGTTTGCTGTTCCTAAGTATTTTTCGGGTCCAAATTGTCAACTACCTTCTGTTAATAAGCGGCATAAATCTGAAAATTTAATAATGCAGTTGCAAGATGCGATAACTTCTCATTTAAAATCGTAGATTCGGGATAACGAACAATAAATTTCAGTTATGAGATTTCTTCTTGAGTTATATAACTTTAATAGGTTTTGGACACGTACTAGTTTGCGCCATTAGTCCGAAACTGAAAGCCGATTGTGCAGGATTTATCAATTTTAACGCAATTCCACAAATCACTAATTAAATATAACGTGGCGTTGCCAAAGAATATAATTATAGCGAATAATTCTTCTTGGACCCTGGGCCTAAAGCAAGTGGCGTTGAATAATGGGGCCTGGGAAATTTGCGTAAATCTACAACATTAAAAGTCCATATTCTAATGAGAACTGCCGAAAATTATTGCGATTGTCGGTCATTACGTGAAAGTGGCATTCTTTGGTTACAAATCATTTTTAATTTTTGTTTAATTCTGCTATTTGTCGCGGTCCAGGTGACTAGGTCGACATGTTAATTCCCCGATTATACGCACGTTTCAATTACCAAACAATTTTTCCTTGGATGAAATACACATTCAAAAATTACAAATCACTCAATGGAAATATCCGCTCGGATTCAAATTCAAATGCTAAATTGTGTTTGTATTTTGCAAATTTCTGTACCTAAATACTTAAACATCGTCTTAAACTAGCGCTTGATGGGGAGCGCTTTAGATTTTTATATGCGCATTAATTATCCGGCAAAATCTCTTTCACCTTGAACTTAATTTTACTTTTTAATATCCTACTTCGGCTGACCTAGTAGATATTTCGGGTGGAACCTAAACTAGTCTAGTCATCTAGATTTGTAGGTAACAGTTCTCAGCCACATTCTTATGATGGTTTAGATAAATTTCCCTTAGATTTTTGTAAAAAAAAGTAAACTTTTAGACGAATTAAATCAAAGTTTTGTCTTTTTAGTATTGTACCAACCACGGTTCCTTCTGGCCCAGTTTTTTCAAAATAAATTT